ACTTCACATTCTTAAAATAAAGTGGTGATCCTAACTGACCTAAGACAGGGTATTTTTACTTGGATTAAATGTCAGGAATTGTGGAAAAACTGAGTTTAAATGTATTTGGCTAAGGTGTATGTAAACTTCCGACTTCAACTGTAGATTTTCAATAATGCTTGGACTTTCCTGACAGGTTGAACAAGGGTGTGTCAAATGGCACCCTATTCCCTATATAGTGCACTACTTTTGAGAATAAGGTTATAGGGCTCTGGTCAAAAGTAGTGCACTATATTGGGAATAGGGTGCCATTTGAGACGTAGGCCAAGAATGAACCAAGAATCACCTTGATGTTGTCTCGTGGTCCCTGTAAAAGGATGTCAAAAGCTTTGATAAAAGAGCTCCACAGGAGACGGCAGTGTCTCCACAGTCCTGGATTCCTTGTCTCACCCCAGCTCTCCAGAAAACTTGGTTTTATCGGCCTGTCCCATCTAATCTTCTCTCCTCCATGGCTGTGCACAGAGAATGGATGGAGAGGGGGAAAGAGGAGGAGTGAAGCAGAGGAGTGCAGCAAGGGGAGAACCCAGCAGATAAACTCGACGCTGGATCCACTTCCTCTGTCCGTCACTTAATATGGTACTGTCCCTGAAGCAATGAGAGTAGGCATCGTTAAGCCATGTTCCGCACTGTAAGAAGGGGAAGTAGATGCACAGTATCAACCATTGGCAGACAATGAGCCATGAAAACAGACAAATAGGAACTGGGCTTCTGTTCCCTTTTAATGAGGCACATTCTATAGGCTCTTTTGAACCCATATCAGTCCTTGGAGAAATCCTTAGGAGAAGCACATCAACAAGATCTGATCGACATAGAAAGACTCAACAGCACATACAGTACATCTGACATTAGAAATATGCGATTGGCTAAAGCTATCCTTATATTGGTAAGGGTGTGATGAATCAGTGAATGGGAGCGTATCAATGTATTTGAGGCTGTGTTATTCTATTATAATGCAATAGTGTGGTTCACCCACACTTGAACAATAGCCTCCATTTAGATATGCTGACACTTGGCAACATCCCATGCCAAAATTCCCAGGGATGCACACCTGTTTCATTCAAACCAGTAAATGTGGGCTGTAGCAAAAATCAAGCGGTTGGTGCGTAAACTGTATGGGATGTACACAAGTGTGCCCCTGTCCAAATCATAAGAATATTTTTATAACCAAAATGCCGGAAAAAATTTTGCGCACCACACGGTCACTATTTACGCACGTTGCCATATGCCATATTGTAACCCCATTGGTGAAAGATGGGGGGGAAAAAAACACAATTTCTTGATTGTAATGCTTATTGGCTAGGGTATATTTAAGTGCAGATCATGCACATACATATTGATATTAATCCGCTTTAATAGGCTATAATTGGGCTGTATGAATCAGATCAAGTGCTGTTACAACTCCATTTTGAATTACTATGACCAGTGTGTGTGTATTGATTATTTGTACACCATTTCAATCGAGGAGGCGTCAGGCATGCATTATTGTATAGTAGCCTATGTTGGCAATGCGATGGGGATGAAATCTGTCAACAACATAGTCAATGAATAACGCTGGGTATAAATGCTAGGGTGAAAATTGTATGAAATTGACTAAAATTCAACTGTCAATTCAGAACACTGTGGGGTGGTGGGGGTGCGAGCAACGCTAACCAACAAGAGAAAAGCTTTCGTTCTAATTACGAATCCTTTGTGTAATGTCAAGAAAATGTATTATACTAAAATGTCTTAACATTCCTTCACCCGGACTCAAATAAGCTATTATTGTAGGCTAATCAACACTCACCTTTGAAGCAAGCGTCTTGAGGTTTACGCAAGGCACAGAAGAAGCGTGAGTAAAGAACCAAATCAAATCCCCACAATCGTCTTCATTTCAGGAAAAGGATTCGAAAACGAATGATATCTAACTTCTTTGAGGAAACTAGTACTGAAGGAAAATCCCATTTAGCGAATTTAGGAAGTGTAGAGAGGTCATGACGGGAATTGCCTTGAGGAGCAGAGGGCACGGTTCAGATTGCGGTGGCGATCCACTTCTCTAAAATAAACGCAAGTAGGCTATGGAAATTAATAAAATTAAGTAGGCTTAATGAAATGCGCAGTGATAAATTAGGGCTATGAAATTCATCCTTGTGCCATATACGCGGGATATGGTGAAAACATTCCTTGTATTGAAAAAAGGCAAGATCGTGTGCATCACTGACGAAACAAAACAGCACAAATATGATAGGGGAGAATGGACCGTGTTACGTTTTTTGCGCAACTGGATGGAGTCAGGAATACAGCGTAGCCCCGTGGAATAACAATGTATTTCACGTAGACAATTCAAATAAATTAACAACCATTTACGCAAAACCATTTAGGGCCAGTTTCCCTGACACAGATTAAGTCTAGACCTGAACTGAATAGCCCTTTTATAGAGATTCTAATTGAGCATACTTCTTAGTCTAGGAACCTTCATCTGTGTCTGGGAAACCTGCCCTTACATTTTGGAATATATATTAGGTTAAGACTGTGAAAGACAAGAGCCTTGGAACACAATGCATTCTACTTTCCATCACCCATCTGATATATCTCTACTGTATGTGAAATTACATTTAGTAACTTTCAACATAGAATAGAACAGAGATAGCATAGCCTATATTGTGAAAAGTGAGTCACAGTCATTTGAACAGGAATCTGAATAGTTTACCAGTATATACTTTGCACAAGCACAACACCAGCAATCTATTGGTAAGGTGTGGAACTGACAGACCTGGGATCACACATTCAAGTCCTAGTTGGGCTACCCCAAAATGTCACTACATTGTTGGCAGAAGTGGGATAGTGCTACCATGAGATATGCCAGAGCATGAGGGACTTGAGGTGCAGAGGGAAGGAATGGGTTAGTGCAAAGGAGGTAAGTCCTTAGTACAACAACAACTATCTCATCAATGGACCTCTTCTTGTTGTAAAAGCGAAGGTGTTGGACTGACACAAGATTGCAGAAACTAGGCAGGCTACCATCCGGATTCACGGAAATCTTTATGTTTTCATTCTCAGAAAATGCTATTCATCCTTATTAGCAAGGTCTATTTTGCAACAAAAAAAATATTTGTAATCTTATCTGAGAAATATTTCAAATAATTTATTTCCCATTTTAAAAAAATTCGCTACAAAATTGAGAACGTGTTGGACTGGGTAAGGGTTATAAGGCTAAATGAGAAATGTTAAGATTAAAAGGGTACAGTTGTATTTTTGTTCAACCTCATATTGATATAACAGAGAAAGAGGGTGCTTATTCTGGGTTGACACAGAAATTATAGTAATAAAATGCACACAATGTAAAACAAAAAAATACATACAGTAGTACCTTCTGAAAGTATTCACACCCCTTGTCTTTTTCCACATTTTGTTGTTACAGCCTGAATTTAAAATTGATTAAATTGAGATTGTGTCACTAATCACACACAATAACCCAATATATATATATTTTTAATTACAAATGAAAAGCTGAAATGTCTTGAGGCAATAAGTATTCAACCCTTTTGTTATAGCAAGCCTAAATACGTTCAGGAGTAAAATTTACATAATAAGTTGCATGGACTCACTCTGTGCACAATAATAGTGGCTAACGTGATTCTTGAATGACTACCCCATCTCTGTACCCTGCACATACAATTATCTGTAAGGTCCCTTGGTCAAGCAGTGAATTGCATACACAGATTCAACCACAAAGACCAGGGAAGTTTTCCAATGCCTCATAAATAAAGGCACCTAATAGAAAAACAGACACTGAAGTTAGCAATTATGTTTTGGATGGTGTATCAACACAACCAGTCACTACAAAGATAAAGGCATCCTGCCTAACTCAGCTGCTGGGGAGGAAGGAAACCGCTCAGGGATTTCACCATGAGGCCAATGGTGATTTTAAAACAATTACAGAGTGTAATGGCTGTGGTTACTCCACAATACTAACCTAAATGACAGAGTGAAAAGAAGCAAGCCTGTACAGAATAAAAATATTCCAAAACATCGTGTTTGCAATAAGGCACTAAAGTAATGCTGCAAAACATTTGGCAAAGAAATTAACTTTTTGTCCAGAATACAAAGGGTTATGTTTGGGGGAAATCCAACACATCACTGAGTACCACTCTTCATATTTTCAAGCATGGTGGTGGATGCATCATGTTATGGGTATGCTTGTTTAGGGATACAAATAAATTGAAGAGCTAAGCACAGGCAAAATCCTAGAGGAAAACCTGGTTCAGTCGGCTTTCCAACAGACACTGGGAGACAAATTCACCTTTCAACAGGACTATAACCTAAAACATGAAGCCAAAAATACACTGGAGTTTCTTACCAAGATGACATTGAATGTTCCTGAGTGGCCTAGTTACAGTTTTGACTTAAATCGGCTTGAAAATCTATGGCAAAACTTGAAAATGGCCGTCCAGCAATGATCAAACAACCAACTTGACAGAGCTTGAAGAAATGTAAAAATAATAATGTGCAAATATTGTACAATCCAGGTGTGCAAAGCTTTTAGAGACTTACCCAGAAATACTCACAGCTGTAATAGCTGCCAAAGGTGACTAACATGTATTTATTTTTTATTCATAAAAAAAATCATACATCGAGTTTGACATTACAGAGTATGTGTGTAGATCATTGACAAGAAAAATTAAAATTAAATCAATTTTAATCCCACTTTGTAACACAAAATGTTTTGGAAAAAGTCAAGGGATGTGAATACTTTATGAATGCCCCCAAGGTGTATGGTTGTGTTTAGGCCTTTACAAGTTTTAGATTGACAAGTGACATTTGATAGCAGACTAGTTGAATAAAACAGTTATTCAAATGCACTTCTGTTCTTTCATAAATCATGGTAGAGACATCCTTTCAATTTGATGGAACAAAAATGATTCAGTCTACATAATTTGAAATGTAACAATAATTTTGGATGCACAGCACCAAATCCAACACACTTATCGCTTCTTCTTGCTCTCTTTCTTTAGTTTCTGACGAATCTGAGGAGCAGGTCCTTTCGACTTCTTATTCTGGTCACCAGCCTTCATGTCATTTGGCTCCATCTCCTCCTAATGATAAAACAGAATGTGAGTCCCGGTGACACTCAAGACACATATGGAACAGTAACAGTAGGTTGCTGAGTAGTAACGGACAGTTTGCTTGCTCAAGCCAAGTTCAAAAGTAGACTACAATAGGACAGAAGGGAAAAAATACGAAGTATCAGGCTTATATGGATTTATCACATAATGCCATAAGTAAACCTATAGTAAATAATGACATTATTACAATATCATACCGCATTCTTTCAACTGCCAATAGGACTGTTTACCATACCTGTTCATGCCCCTTGGAGGTGGGTATTATGACAGCCAAGATGCAGATGAGTTGGAAAATAGCTCCCAGAAAGAGTCCATAGCGCAGGAGGCTCTCAAGCAAAGTGGGTTCAGGTACCTCTGGAGGTGAAAGGTCCAGTTCCGCGGACATAGTAGCCTCCTTTCAGGTCCCTGTGTGCAAGAACACGAAATGCATGTAAACAAGGATAAGCCTGCTCTGCAAAGCTCACTATATTTTTCCAAATCAAACTCACTAACGTTATTTTTGCCAAATCATTGAAGGCCATATTGTAATACGCGTATAACTGTTTACAGAAACGACAATGTAACAATGGCTGCAACAACGTTTCCACGCATCTGAACTGGAAGCTGTCGGCCTCGATACAATAACAACAATTTGCTGTTCGGCGAATCTAATCATAGGCTACAATTTCATACAAAAGCTTACCAGGGCCCTAAGTCAACTCGTCCTTCGTTATTTTTATAGCACCAAACACGATCCTGAGTGTAAAATCGTGAGTTCAACGTAATTTGTATCAGCACAAAAAATATTTTACAGGTCGTAGAATTTGCATCGGAAGTGAAGTCATTGTGAGATCCGCTTATTTTCTTAGCTATGTGAAGCTAGCCACAATAACGATTTACCACAATAGTGGAATTTGCGGTTCGCCTTCAAAACAAAAGTACCCATTGAAATTGATGCAAACGGATACAACTAATGGAATAATCATAAAGATCCTAATAAATGACTAATGCCTAATTATATGGGAATAATGCCATATTTGGACCATTGTTTTACTTCGGATTGCATCACTCCTATGCAACGCTCCTCCCTCAACCACTCTGTCTTGGTCCGTGCTATCCAGGATCCTTGGGTTGGTCCTACCCCATTGAAGTTGAAATTTGAAATGGTCAAAGGAGTAGTTCACTATTTTACAATTTGATGTTAGATGGTTCCTCACCCTGAACGTAGTCTATGGGCCAGGAGAAACTGTAATGATTCAGTTATCTTTAAACAGCCACTACAAATTTCAGCTAACTTTAGCCACCACAAGCTAACATTCAATGGGAGTGATGGGGGCATGTGTTTATTTATTTATTGCAAATCACTTTTAAGTAACATGAAACCAAATATTGTGTTGATTTGAGGTGATTTTAACATAATTTTTTGAAACATGCCCCCATTACTTCCATTGATTGTTAGCTTGTGGTGGCTAAGGTTAGCTGAAATTTGTGGTGGCTGTTTAAAGGATTAGCCACAATTGTGGAATTTCCGGTTCACCTTCAAAATAAAAGTACCCATTGAAAACTGAAACCTGGTTTACATTTTCTCTTGGCCCATAGACCACTTTCAGGGTGAGGAACCATCTAACGTCAAGTTGTAAAATAGTGAACTACTCCTTTAAGGGTAGGGGTTAAGGTTAGGGTTAGGTTAGGGTAGAGATGTCCCAAGAATTATGGATAGCACTGACCATCCCCGCCTTAGGGTAGGGCTGTCCCAAGGATTCCACATAGCATGGACCATCTGTCTTGTAGGATGTGGAACTCATATAAATATATATATATTCCCGAGCATCCACCATTAAAAAATGAAAACATAGTTCCTAATTTATGATATCACTGCACTATTCCCTTACTTTCCATGAAATAGGCAGAATAACTAGCTACATTGTTACAAACGTTGTGGCAGTGATTTAATCATTTACAATTGTGAGACAATACAAACAAAGCAACATGGCTTCCCCCTGCAAAAATTATGTGCAAGGACGTCGGTCGCAACTGCCGGTGTAGCGACTTGATCAACTGCATTAGAGTCATGGCAGCAACAATAGTGTCCCGGCAGCAACATTATGACTTCCAGTTTTCAGATCTTGCCTTCAAAATAAACGTTTGTGGTAAAATGCTTGCGTATGATTTTTACAGCTTTGCATAGTGCATAATCTTACATTTTTGTTACCAAATTATAACTACATGGGGGAAAAATCTAAACTAAAGAGAATTACTACTTTATATAAGATAATAATAAGGTAGATAATAAGGTAGAGCACATTGAGAATTGGTTGGAGCTTAAGTAAATAAATGTAAAGAGCATTATATCCTGCAGACCCTACTGATCTAGCATTAGAGTCTCTATCTATATAGTGTTATTTCTTGGGTGACTGTGGTCTAAGCTCTTGCTACCCCACCCATTCCATTGGTCCCAATGCAATACACTGTAGGGCTATAAATGACATATTGGCTTATAGAGAGAACTATTATATGTGCCAATGTAAAAGTGGGGTTGGGAATACTCAGTAGGGTCTGTAGAATCTATATTAGGGTGTTATTTCATGACGGACTGAAGCAATGTGCTTAATATTAGGAAAGTTTATAAATAAATATAGTAGATAGGCAGTGCTTGCCACTGGGTTTGTTTAGGAGAGCTTGTTCCCTCAGCAGGTCTCGACACGGAAGTATTGTCAGCAGACCTCCACCTGGTGATTCTACATGAAAAGCGGCATTTCGAAACAGAGGCGCGCAACTCCGGGGAGGAGAAACATGACCAATGGTCTTTAGCTCTGCTGTTGAGGCCTGGTCATTTCCTAACCTACCTACTAAAACAGCGTGAGGTATTTAGGCTATGTCATCCTGTGTATCCTGTTGACTTTTATACCTGACTTTTTGCTCTCCCTCCCGAGGAAGTCGACCTACGAACGCCACACGAACAGGACGCCTCTCCAACAGCCAGACATGGATCTTCAACTCGAATCTCAGAATGCCACTAGGCCTACTAACCGTGACAGCAGCCCTCCAGACAACTCTCTCTAGCCCTGCTAAAAGGGATGATCTTCCAATTAGGCTAACTTCAAACTTTGGCGTGAGTGAGCTACTATTAGGCCTATTCATAATTTAATCCAGATAATTGTACCTGTGTCGCTGGAAATTTGGGAAGCGTGGATTTCTAGAATCCAGCTGCTGGTTGTCAGTGAAAGAGCAGCGCAGAGAGATGCAGAGGAATGTCCGTTTTAAGTTGTTCGATATCCACTTTTTATCCGTTTTATATGGCGAGCTGCTCTGTGCCCCTGGACAAATAAACATTGTAAACCATAGCCTAGCCAATTGCTAATTTGGTTTTAGAAGTGTGAGGCACTTTTCCCCCGGGACTGTCTGGAGAACACTGAAGGTGACGCAGTCCAGGAGAGACTGACGGATCAGGGCCTCGCTTCCCAGTTGCGATATAACTTAAGCATTACGATGGTCATACCAGATGCATAGTTATTTACGATCCAACTTTTTAAGAGTGTTTCCCACACACACACGTAGAGTGAACCTGTAAGAGACACAGCTATGAGCGTCGTTGGGGACATGTTCGGTTTTTTACATGATCCTGTTGGGGGAGTTGTCCAGGTCCCTGGTGCTGAAATCGATGCCGCTTGCATCATATGCAAACACCACTAATAGCCCACATTTAATGTGAAACATAGGCTAGGCCTTATACATTTAGCAGACTAGTTTTTATGAATGAAAATAAATAAAACCATAATCTACAAACTAACCATTTTCGTCATGTAATGTTCATTGATTTCAAGATTTGAACCCAGGTCGTCTTCTTTCCTCCACAGTGCTTTAGTACACAATGTTTTGACTTTGGCCCGGTTTCCGATAGTGATGGAACTTTTGAGGCTTATGATTGTTTTAATGATGCATCTTTCCTACAACGGCCGAAGATGTAACAAGCATTTCACAAAACACCACACAGAGAAAACGGTAATTAAGTGCGTCGTTGGAGCATGTGTCGATACTGATAGGATCGAAAGAAAGGGAGTTCTGCTCTTGGATCAGCTTTCTCCATTCACATTTTTCCTTAAGATTAGAATGATCTCACAATACTGACTATGGATCAGCTCCTAGAGCGAAATTACCACCTACGGCTGCAAATATTCTAATATTCTGATGCTTAACCAATAAAAATGCACTAAATCACAGATTTGGCACATCATTGCGCACACGTTAGACTACACATCATGAAATATATTGAGACAAATTACAGACAGTAGCCTACAAGTAGCAACATAGAACTCAATTGATTGAACATGAAATGTATTCCAATATGAGTGAAATATGCATGCCTATACAGTGCATTCAGAAAGTATTCAGACCCCTTGACTTTTTCCACATTTTGTTATGTTACAGCCTTATTCTAAAATTGATTAAATGGTTTTTTTTCCCCTCATCAACCTACACAGAATACCCCATAATGACAAAGAAAAAACTGGTTTTTAGAAATATCACATTTACATGAGTATTCAGACCCTTTACTCAGTACTTTGTTGAAGCACGTTTGGCAGCGATTACAGCCTTCAGTCTTCTTGGGTATGACGCTACAAGCTTGGCACACCAGGTTCAAGTCTGGGCTCTGGCTGGGCCACTCAAGGACATTCGGTGCCACTCCTCGGTTGTCTTGGCTGTGTGCTTAGGGTCATTGTCCTGTTGGAAGGTGAACCTTCGCCCTAGTCTGAGGTCGTGAGCGCTCTGGAGCAGGTTTTCATCAAGGATCTCTCTGTACTTTGCTCCATTCATCTTTCCCTCGATCCTGACTAGTCTCCCAGTCCCTGCCGCTGAAAAACGTAGGGATGGTGCCAGGTTTCCTCCAGACGTTACGCTTGGCATTCAGGCCAAAGAGTTCAATCTTGGTTTCATCAGACCAGAGAATCTTGTTTCTCATGGTCTGAGAGTCCATTAGGTGCCTTTTGGCAAACTCCAAGCAGGCTGTAATGTGCCTTTTACTGAGGAGTGGCTTCCGTCTGGCCACTCTACCATAAAGGCCTGATTGGTGGAGTTCTGCAGAGATGGTTGTCCTTCTGGAAAGTTCTCCCATCTCCACAGAGGAACTCTGGAGCTCTGTCAGAGTGACCATCGGGTTCTTGGTCACCTCCCTGACCAAGGCCCTTCTCCCCCGATTGCTCAGTTTGGCCGGGCAGCCAGCTCTAGGAAGCCTTGGTGGTTCCAAACTTATTCCATTTAAGAATGATGGAGGCAACTGTGTTCTTGGGGACTTCAATGCAGCATACATTTTTTGGTACCCTTCTCCAGATCTGTGCCTCGACACAATCCTGTCTCGGAGCTCTGTGGACAATTCCTTCGACCTCATGGCTTGGTTTTTCCTCTGAT